GTTGAGGGGGGGTATCGGGGTGTTGGTGGGGTTATATGGAACAGCTAAAGAAAAAGAAAAATTGCAGTGTGCCGACCGACCGCCGACCGGCAGGTGGAATGGTCGGCCAAGTCAGAAGCCAACCAATCAAGGGGTGTTGGGGGGGTGTATTGGGTGTTGAGGGGGGGTATCGGGGTGTTGGTGGGGTTAAATGGACCAGCTAAAGAAAAAGAAAAATTGCAGCGTGCCGACCGACCGCCGACCGGCAGGTGGAATGGTCGGCTAAGTCAGCAGCCAACCAATCAAGGGGTGCTGACCGTCGGCATGACTACTCTGGATAACGGTGTACATGATCAATGGTTGAACAAAACTTCATTCGGAACCTCAAGATCAGAAATTCTCAGAATGCTCACCAGCAAACCCAGGTCAGAAGCGCCAACAAGACCACTGCAGGCACAAACATACTGGAGACCTGCAAGAGGGAATACACACAAACCGCCAGCAACCCGCATCAGCATCCCGCCACTAAGACCATGGCAGGTAGCGATATACTGGAGACCTGCAGAAGGCAATAGCAACCAACCGTCAGCAAACCAAGGCTGCAACCGCTAATAAGATCGGTACAGTGACAAAAGGTACTGAAGACATGCAGGGGGTGCAAGAATTCAGAAATAGAGCAGGGACGGAAAAAGCAGGAAAGACACATGACAGTGCAGTGAATTCAAATCAGTGGTATCTTTATTCTTCCAGACAGCCAGAGAGCATCCATATCTTCTCCCATGTCATTCGCATGCATGCTTCATAGGCTGGACCGGAGGCCGAGGCTTGATCTGTTGTTCTGCTTCACAATGCTTGAGAGTTATAACACAAATCGGACTCCACACTCTGCATTACCGGACACTGTGGATGGAAGATTGAATACCTAATCGTACTGGAGACACGGTCGGGGTTCAACCAAGGGCTGAAAGTCACAGAAACAAAAATTATCATGTAGATCGGCGGATTCGCAGGCCAAAACAGGATATGAGAAGAAGGAAACTAAACTGATCCTGAACCGAAGGATAAGAAGATCAAACGGCCAGTTCAAGCGGTGGAAGGCACAGAGACAGTAGTCAAGGGTAGAATAGGTGGAGTTATCCGAGGCCACAATGAAATGAGATTACCCAAGGCCACAATGAAACGGTAATGCGACTCAGGGTGAGTTACCCCTCAGTCAAAAAAATGGTAACGCGACTCAGGGTGAGTTACCCCTCAGTCGTTTTTTTTTTCCGCAAGCACCGAAGGTTAGCGCTAACGCAGACCAGCGTCCGGGGACTCCCGGCAGCGCTACCGCGACGATTCGCGCCGGACACGTCGTTCACGCGGAAACTCGACCAGCATTCCAATTCCGTCTGCTTCTGGTAGCGAAGCAGGGAAAGTTCAGCCACGCCCTCGGGCATGGCGGGAGATAGCCATATCCACCGGAAACTGCCATCATGGTATGCACCGCAATCACCCACACCGGACAAGTCCCAAACACCAACTCGACAAGGGAAAGGGGAGCACTCGAAAGGGCGCATAATTTCGTGAGCGAGGCCAAGAAGAGGAGGTGGTGAAAAAAGGAAACGAGAAGGAAGAAGGGACAAGGACGAATAATGAGAGAAGAGAAGAGAGGAAGGAGTGGGGCCTGAAAACAACAAGTAGGCTATTTCAGGCAAGCGAAGAGGGAGGACAACGCAGACAGTTCGTGAAATCGTGGGGTCCAGAAGAGCCAGAAGGTCACAGCGAGCGCCAACATCCCCAACAACAACCAAACAAGGAAGACGACAAGGGGAAGAGAACGGAGGACAAGAGGAATTGAAGAAGGCGAATGAAGAGTCGACGAGAGTCATTAAAGTAATCGGAGCGCTTCTTATCACCATCGGGCGCTGCGAATTCACCACACCCCCTGAACGGCAGCGACAGACAACCCGAATCTGATCGGGAGACACGCTCAAGTTCAGGCATTTATTTCATCCAATTTCTACCAGTCTCCTTCCCCGACACCGTGGTTGTAGCCCTCGCCTAAAGCACTCTCGTTACTGAATTACTAAACTCACGGCCCCCATACTAATCCAATCTGGAACACCAACTACCCTCTCTCCCACCCCTGGCCTGCCTCAAACCCTTCCCCATTACATCGATCCCACCAACACCTCATACCCTGCTTCGATACCACACCCCGTTTCCACCCCGATCCCACCAAACACCCCGTCCCCACCCTATTACGGTCCAAGACCCTACCTGAATCCGATACATCCACGATCGCGGCCCACCGCCATACACCACCCCCCCACATTGCCCTTTCCGATCCCCGTACTACCCGCTTCTTAACTCCCTCCCCACCCCGTTATCAGCATAATCGATTTCCCAGCCCCACCCCGGTCCCAACCTCTCATCCTCACTCCGCCCCGGGCCTACCCAGACCCCGTCTCTATTCTCGACCTGTCCAGCTCCCAACCCGACTTCGACCGCAGAATCGTCCAAGGCCCAGCCCCGAGTCCATCCTACGCCCGATCTGTCACACATACTGGTCGGACGTAAAACCCATGACTACCCTGATCTGCGCCCACTTCTACGCTAACCTCGTACCTCCCCCAACCGCGTTCCCCGCTTCGCACTGACCCACGAATCATTCCCTGCCCGTTTCCGTAACAGCCCTTCCTAACTATAAACCACTTTGATTCCATGCTGTCTCCAACTCACGCCCCACCACTGCCCCGTTTCCTACCTCCTTCACAATATCATTATTATTATCATTATTGTTATTATTATCATTATTATTATTATTATTACCATTATTATTTTTAACTTTATTATCATTATTATTACTATTATCACTATTATTATTACTACTGCCATTTCATTTTTCACCACTAAGCAGATTCTCCCCCGCTCCCGTTCCCACCCCGTTCCGTTTCTGTCCCCGTTCCAGTCCCCACCCCCGTTCTTATCCCAATCCCAGACTCCGACCCTGTAGCCGATCCCGATCCTACCTCCGACCCAGACTACACCTCCGTTCCTTGCCCACTCCTATCCCCACCCCATCCCTTGTTCGAGTTCAGAAGAGTCTCAAAGCTCTCTTTACCCCCCACCCCATCCACATCCCCAGCTCATCGTGTTCGGTGGAATCCCGTAGCGTCTGGATACTATCTTCTGGAGCTGGCCTCCCCCACTCCAGTTCCCACCCCCGATCTGTTCCTACCCCTGTTCCAATCCCCACCCCAGTTTCTGTCCCCAACCCCGATCCCGACCCTGTACCCGATCCCGATTTTACCCCCGATTCAGAATCCACCCCCGACATTAGTCCAGTCCTACCCCCTCCCCAATCCCTTGGTCAAGATACTAGCTTCCGGATTTCGCCGCCCCCGCTCCAGTCCACACCGCCGTTCACGTCCTATCCCCGCCCCAGTCCTCACCCCCGTTTCTGTCCCCATCACCGATCCCGACCCTGTTCCTGATCCCGTTCCCACCTCCGTCCCAGATCCCACCCCCGATCCTAGTCCCCCCGATCCTA